GGGCCACCACGATGCTGTTGCCGATGAAGGCGGTCACCTTCCACAGGGGCAGGGCACAGGACACCAGGGCGTTCACCCAGCCGAGCAGCGTCAGGATGATCCCCAGGATTTGCAGGCCAGCGGAAGCCATGGCGAGGTTGAGGCTGAGAGGAGCTACGTTGGGGGACGCAAGGAGACTGCTGTTAAGACAGGCAGGTCCAGACCCTTTGTTCCCGTGCTAACTCTTCATGCCACATGCCGTGGCCCCCGGGAACACAAACCCTGGGAATCAGTACACCAGGGGCAAAGCACACTCTCTGAGCCTCATTTTCTCGTGGCCAAAACGAACACTTAACGCTTTAGCATCAGTTCCCCCCACCCCTGGCCCCCCACCTCCCGCCGGCTTTGGGGTTGCCGTTGATTTACAAGAGCGAAAAAGTAAGCAACCCAGTCCTGGCTGTCTCGAGGGCACATGAGACACAAAGCCCATACCAATGCTAGTCCATGGCCCCAGCCACTTTTCCTGCATTTTATCAGACAGCAATTTCCGGGCGTTTCCTTAGGGCACACAGATGGTGGGTTGGTGCTAGCCATGAGTTTCAGGCTCAAAACCTGTCAGTTTCAACATGACGATTAGCGATCCAAGCTGCCTCCCAACCACCCAGTAGCAGTGTACAAACTCCTCACCCCAGCCCGGTTCCATCCCCCCAGGCAGGTGGTCATGTTTGTGTCTCAGGTGACCCACCCTTCCCGGCCTTGCCTGGCCCAGTTGGCCCAGTCCAGCCTCAGTCAAACCCCAGAGGGGCAGGAGCAGTGAAAACCACAAATACCACCCTCTCACCCAAAAGCGCTTCTTCCCCAGGGCTACCGGCTGCGCCCTGGGGTTCCGTGAGCATACCTCCAAGGTGGGGGACATTCTGTTGTGCGTTCTTGCCCCAAATGCCATCCTCTAAGGACTCAACTTCCCTAAGACGACCTGAAACCCTTGGAGTCTGCCCAGTGAACCAGCTCCTCCGCCGCAGCCCTGGCCCCCCCTCGCATCCCACTTGGTGTTGTGGCTGGCTGGGGGATCAGTTCTGTTCAGGGTCCTGTTCTGGCTCTCCCTTACCCAAAGTTGCCGCGCACGGTTTGGAGCTGAACTGAGCACCGGCCCCAGCAGTGTGGCCCAAGGACAGACAGACCGTCCACTCCTCATTTGCATCGCCCACGCCCAGCCATACCTGGCCGCGCTCTCCCCAAACCCGCTGTCAGTCCTCCAGGCCTCTGGCCCGGTTAGCGCAGGGGCCACGCCGGCCCAGGCACCCGGCATCTCTCCCCTCCGAGACCCTACCTCTGCCCTCGACCCCTTCTCTTTCCGCACACTGCGGACTCGGCTTGGTCCGAGGGCGCCCACTCCCGCTCTCGACCCCTAGTTCCCTCCTGAGTCCCGCCCGAGGAAGGGTCGCCAGGTCCCAGCCCGAGTGGCGCTCTGCGGGGAGGGTTTAATGGCGGCGGGAGCAGCAGGGTCGGTTCCGGTAGGTGAGGGGGAGGGGAGCCCCGCCCCAGGGAGCAGAGCAGGTGGGGGAGGGGCGCCCGGGTTTCGGTGCCTTTGTCCCGGGGGAGGGGGAGGGGCATTTAACCCTTCCGCGGCTGCAGAGGGACCTGATCTCTGCGGCTTCGGTGCAGATCCCCGGCCAGGAGCTGTGCCCCGGTGGCCGCAGCCAGATCAGCCCAGGTTCTCTACACGCACCCCCACCCACGCCGTCTGCACCCCACTCCTCGAGGAGTCTGCCTCTTCCCCTCCAACGCGCGCACTTTCCCCCAGGTTCACCTGCAAAGAAGCCCACTGGGATTCGTAGGAACCGCCGAGTGTGCGGACGGGGACGGAGGCGGGGGTCTTAAAGAGGCAGTGACGTCACCGGACCACCGCCCCGGGGAGGGGCAGAGACCCCATTCCGGACCTCCGCGGGCGCGCGAATCCCAGCTTCGTCAGTTGGGGTCGCTCGAGCCGGGGGCCGCTGCGCCCGCATCTGGCCCGGGGTGCGGGGACCTCAGCTGGCGAACGTCGGGCCCGCAGCGGGTCGGGGCACAGGGCGTGGAGCCAAACGGAGCGTGGCTCTTGGCTCCGCTACTTACTACCGCTGTGACCTCGGCAACTCACCTAACCTTCCCAAGCTCCAGTTTCCTACTCGGCCAAAAGGAGGCAAGAAGCCCACGTTTTATTGTGTAACTATGTCCTAAGGTAGAAACTAAAGACATATTATTATCATTATTTTGTTGTTGTTATTGTTCTGTTGTTATTATACCCTGGGGACCTTAGGAAAGCCGCAGGTGTCTCTGCGGTGGGCTGTTCCGTGTCCGATTCCGCCAGCACACGTCTCCAGGACTCCAGCTTCCAGAGGGCAGGGCCAGGGCTGCGTCCCTGCGGGGGTCCCAGCCGCTCGCGCCAGGAGGCGGTGTTTGTTGAGCGAATGACTGACCTCAGCGGGCCGGGCGGGGCGGGGCG